TTGACCAAAGGGCAGAGAATTGGAACTTATCTCTATTCCTTCAAGGTTATTTTGTTTCCACCTCAAAGGTCCCACCTAAATTTAGGTCAGACTTTCTCAAGGTTCTGGTCAACCTGGTACATCAGGGAAGTAAACCTGTTCAAACAAAAGTCTAAGGACCCAACTAAGTTCCAATTCCCTCAAGGAAATAACTTTGGTTTCCACCCAGGGAGTGGTCTGCCTACAGAATGTTTTGGTCTAGGGTGTGAGTGTCAACTTGTTTTGTTCTAGCAACAGAAAGTTTAACTTTGGCTATAGCCCACAACCTTCAATTGGTATGTTCAGTTCCTTGTATCATGTTTTTAGTCTTACCCCTATTTTTGGGGTCAGGAGTATTTTAAGCAGTTGGAAATTAAATGCAGGCTAATTTCAGTGCTCACTGGAATTTCCTCCTGATACTATTCTATGTTTCTCCATTTTATTATTTTCATTTACATTTTCAAACACTTTACTAATATTTTCTAAATCCCTATGCTTTCTACCCTGGCAAGAGGTATTTTTGTCGAGGTTAGTCCCCGACAAAACAAGCAAACAAAAAAAAAACAAAACAAAAATAAAAGGTAAGAATTTTAAGTGTTAAAAGCTGTCTGACATAGTTTTGTAATTCATGGGGGAGTAGTTAGACAACTATCAACCAATATCAGTACTATTTTAATGGGAAAATTTCAGTCTCATATCCCCCCCGAAATTTGTAAGTTACAAACTTTGGGTAAATGAGGTCAAATTAATGCTTGGAAGTGATACCTTATTTTTCAAAGTTGGTGAATGTAAAAGGATAAACTACAGAAATTAGGTAATATATTAATGCGTAGGAAGACACTACTGGAAAAAAGAAATGTAAAAAGCAAGCTCACTTTTTCCTTAGCTTAGTGCAGTATCCTCAAATTAATACAGCCTGTCAAATTAAATTGTGGTGATTTTGTTAATGTGGTTATGTCTTAGTTATCAAATATCCTGGCCTATGATTCAGACACAAGTGGGCAAATATGGAAACCAAAGTTATAAACAGGGATGTCTCCGGAGATTAAATCATATGAAACAGCTTTACGTAATAATAGAAAAGATATATTTTCTTTAGTTGTATAGCTAGCTACCTAAACTATAATAAAAATTATTAACCATAAAGCCCAAGCTTAATGCATATTATCCCACGATACTGATGATAACGTAGTAAGCATGCCAAGAGCATTTATGCTTTAAAATCAGTTTTGAAAATGGTGGCCACCACAATAAGCTTCTCCATAAAACTTCTGCTGGACTATTATTTACCACAAACCCCACCTACTGTCCCTTGACTGTCAAACTGAATTAACTCTGAACAGGGCAGAGTTTCCTCCATACAAATCTGTGAAGTCACCCTTCCTTCAAAAACCTCTCAAGACTGACAACAATTTTTCTTAGAAATTCCTAGAATATCTATGTAGCTAAATTATTTTCCTCTTCTGAAATGTATGTTATTTACCTATAGTGACCTCAAATAGCAATATAAATGCCCTGGAAAAGACAAAGTTAAATACCTAGGTTAATGGGATAGATACATAGCTCAGTGGTTAAGAGACTTGTTGCTCTTGTAGAGGATCCAAGTTTGATTTCCAGAACCCACACCAGGCCACTTTCAACAACCAGTAACTCCAGCTTCAGGGGATCGAAAGACCTCTTCTGGCCTCTGGGGACGACTATACTAATATGCCTAAGTCCATATATATACACATAAATAAAAATAAATTAAACCTTAAAGAAAATCCCAGATTAGAAAGTCTAAACAAAATCTTCTAAAATTTAAATATTGCCAACTTGGGGAACTTATATGAGAATCCAATAATAAAATTATATCGACAGAACAAAAATAAATGATTAGATCAAGTTTTTGGTTTTTTTTTTTTTTTTTTTTTTTTTGCAGATGAAGACAAAGGGGAATATATGTTCAAATTTGAAAGACATTTTGACCAGAGTAATAGAAACAATGAATTACCAAATAGCTAACATTCAATCATTCTATGTGATGGGTTTCAAATATACTTGCAACTATGTTTAAAATTACATTGATATCAGGTGGCAGTAGTAGTTTCCACTGTACCACAGAGTGGGTATAAAACAATATTAGCTTGTTATGTACTCACAACGTCATAGCATATTTTCATTTATAATATCCCTCTACCATTATATTTTATCACCATGGGGTCATATAAGCCTTTCCACTATGTGAATCAACTTTTGAAAGTAACAATTTAACCCAAAGTTCTTATTCTTATTTGAATATACATTAGCAACAGATGTTTCTCTTCCAAAAGTTTTAATGAAAAACAAATTAAAATTTTTTGCTCCAGAAAATATACAAGACAGGAAATCAAAGTACAAAAATGTCATTAAGAAGTTAAAAACTGAAATACAACTGGGCATATTTATTAACCCAAACGCGGTAATATTATTACAGCATTCTGAATTTCTATGTACTTTGCAAATTAACTTCAATCATGCAATACACATATTTCAACATTTTGAGCTTAGTCAGCACTAATTTTCAGCATGTTATACTCAAATATGAGAATCGTCCACTGCCCAAGCATTTCTGAAAATTTCAAACATTATCGATCAAGTATATGTCTCTGTAGAGACACAGTGCCCTCGGTTCTTTTTGGCAGGTATGAAGAAAATGTAGTTAAATAAACTCTTAAATTCAGTAAATTGTCAAAACTCCCTGAAAATCCTTCTCAAAAATTAGCAATAGGGCTGGGCGGTGGTGGCGCACACCTTTAATCACAGCACTTGGGAGGCAGAGGCAGGCGGATCTCTGTGAGTTCGAGACAAGCCTGGTCTATAAGAGCTAGTTCCAGGACAGGCTCCAAAACCACAGAGAAACCCTGTCTCAAAAAAAAAACAAAACAAACAAACAAAAAAAATTAGCAATAGGCTGGGCGTGGTGGCGCACACCTTTAATCCCAGCACTTGGAGGCAGAGGCAGGCAGATCTCTGTGAGTTTGAGACCAGCCTGGTCTACAGAGCTAGTTCCAGGACAGGCTCCAAAGCCACAGAGAAACCCTGTCTCGACCCCCCCCCCCCCGCAAAAAAAAAAAATTAGCAATAGCAGGGCTCTAACTACAGAGATGCCCAAACGGGAATCTGAAGCTCAGCACCCTTGGTCGGGAGTTTTGTGAATATTCATACCACTAAATCTCTGAATCAGTTTTTGGAGCTCAAAAGCCAAACTCAATCTTTCATACTTACAATTACTTTAGTCTTTTTTCCCTTCTTCTTTTCAATCAAGACTGTATAAAAACTTACGGAGTGCCAAGCTCGGGTCTAGGCACATTTTGCTATTTTAATGAGAAAATGAAGGCCCAGTACTGAAAATGCAGCCTTTTTGTTCATAGGGTTTGATTACTACCAACTGAATAAACGTACCTATCCCATTCAATTAAAAATATTAACATTTGAGGAGTAGAAATGATTGACAGGTTAGACTGATAGAAAAGATCTACTGTCATTAAAGCTTACAGATTAATTTCTGTCTGGATAAGAGTTCACTCAAATGGGCCAGTCCTCTAAGGTTTGGTTCAAACCTAGGATAACAACCAAGGCCATAAGGGAAAAAAGTAAAATGAATATTCACCAACTCTGCATTTTGAATTCTGTTTTTAGCCTCACACAACTCAATGGGTTTAAAACAATTACGTCAAACTCCTTTAAATTTATGTAGAAAACAACCAGAATCCATTCAGAACAAGAAATAATAGAATCAAGAAACCATACTGTTTCTGAAGCTTGTCTTGTTATTTGATAAACTTACTTTAAAAGCCTGGAATATAACCCAGAGAAAAGCCTAAATTAAGTACAAGAAGAAGCAGTGGCAATTGTAATGTATTATGCAAATGTACCATATGTAACAGACACGCAGCAAATACTATGAAACATAGCTTACAAAATGTAAGCACACATCTGTGTTTAAGAAGCAGCCTTCAGACATAACTTATGAACATACTGAAGATACTCGGGGGCAGAACCATCTGAATATCAAGGACTGTCGCTCCTCTGAGTCAACACTCATTTTTGACATCCACCCTTCTAGACCCAACACCGCTTATGATTTAAGGAGACAACTGGCCCACAGTGGGGGGAAAAGAGAGGGGAAAGCTTTCAGCATTTTCTAAGGAAACCCTTCTCTTACAACGCTAAGAAGTTTTGTAGGTTAGTCCCAGCTTTAAGCTACCTGGATAGGAGGGAGAGTGTCATGGAGACCAGCAGAGGATTCTAAAAGTCAATTCCTTTCCATGTTTCTTTTTCATTAGGAATCACTTTAGGGTAAAAGCACGTAGGGAGTCCTGGTCATCTAGAAATGAATTTCTGCGTAGAGCGGAGTTAAGGGTTGTGTGGGTCCCATGGCGGGCTTAGTGCACACATATCTCAAGACATCTCCATGCAAGGCTTCCGCCCCCTGTCTCTATCATAGCAGGCTACCCTGACCACGTCTGTGAAGGGGAAAGGGGTGAGCAGGGCTGGGCAAGGCGTGGGGATGAGGGGCTGCCCCGGGGGTCCCTCCCCAAGTCTTCCCTGGGATGTGCCCTCATCTTCAATCTGAACCGACCTAGGAGCTGGTCCAGGGCTGGGAGCCCGGTTGACACCAGCAGCTGTCCATTCCGCACCGACGGTCGCGTGCCCGCAATGGACAGCAGCCGAGGGCCACCTCCGTCAGCCCCAGAGGCCTTGCTCTTCCTCTGGAAGCTGGAGGTGCCGCTCCGGCCGGCTGTGGACGCCAGGCTCGGGACGCCCGCGCCGCAGGTAGCTGTCGCCGCCATCTTGAAGCTCCCGCGAAGAGCCAATAGGAACTCTGGGAACTCGAGCGGGTGGCCCGTCAGAGACACAGCCCCGAAGTCCCGCCTACTCTCCACTGATAGCCAATAGAAATGGGAATTGCCTTGCTACCCAGCCAATCGCCAGGCCTATTGCTGAAAAGTGCTCTGTACGTCAAGCAGGAGGCTTGGATGCGTCCCGGGTTGACCAGGTCTGCTAGAGTTCTGGTTGAGGAACTTCTGTTGGTGTTTGGGCCGCAGGTGGGTACTGTCCTTGGGCATCCGTGGTTTGCGAGCACCCTCGTTCGCGCGGAGTTACCGAAAAGGCTGGAGGAGCCATTCGCCCGCGGGGCTTCGCTAGCCACCGCCGGTTGGAGAGCTCTCGTTTCCCTTGATGTTTAGCACCGGGGAGAGGCGCTTTTCTCGCCTTTCTGGTTTCTAAGGAAAGTTATCCCCGTCTTCCCCACGCGAGACCATCTTTTCTTAAATGGTTGTGCTGTCTGGAAAGGATGTAAAGGTGACCCCAGTGGCTGGTGAGCGCCTGGGCTTAGCCTGTTAGAGCCCAGGACTTGACTTAGAAACTTCCCTTTAGGAACGTCAAAGCCACTGGGCTTTCTTCCCGGTCTGACAGACTATACCTCTCTGGCAAGACCAGCTTTCCTTAGTTTTAATTAGGATCTCTGGAAATCTTGGAGAGTCTTTCCTAAGCAGTGTGAATGACAGGTGTTACTCTGACAACCTTCTTCACACATTTAATTGTCGCTCTCTGAAGCAGCTGCAGAAAACCAGAAAATACCTAAGGTTTCTCTCCCCTGACACCCGAGAAGAATTAGATTCATTTTCTAGTGGTTGCGAGATCTTAGTGGCGAGGGGTCCTACTTCACTGTTATATTTGTGGGAGAAAACCCATGTAATTTAGGGTTGTGTGGTTTGATTTTTCTTTTTCAGATGAGAACTGGAGGAGGAATTGGTTAAGTGATTTTTAAAAGGCATTCTAGATAAGCAATGTTTGAACTAAAAATGAGTTCCAAGTCAACACCTGTGATACTGACTTACTGTTGACAGTGATGAATGATACATGGATTCATCCATCCATCCATTCATTCATTATTTGTTCGTTTTGAGGCACAGTCTCACTATATAGCCGTGAATGGCTGGGGCTCACAGAATTTGCCTGCCTTTTCCTTCTGGTGCTGGGACTAAGGGGGAATGCCATCACAACTTTACTTTGTATTTTTTTTCTTCAGGCCTGGACTCAATCCTATAATCCTAATGAGGTGGAGAAGGAGAATCAGGTGTTGATGGTTAGTGTTAGCTCCATAACAAAAATAGAAAATAAAGAATCATATTCTGGGGGAGGGGGAAGAGGGCAACAAACCTCAATGTTTAGCAACAACCCATCAACCAGAAAGATTTGATAATGGCTGCTTTCATCTCTTAATATGTCACCAGTCCATAGGATTCGTATCCTTATATTTTTTTTAATGGACTAAGCAGAAAGCAGGTCCTCAACAGTCGTTTGAATGACTTACAAATAGAAGGCTATGTATGCTTTGGAAGCTGCTCGTCTCTTCATGAGTTAACCATGAGAGCTGGCATTCGCGGTTGAGCACAGCTATGTTAGAAGCTGAAATTCGAGTTTCGTGTAGTTTTCGTATGTCACAGCATAGTCTTTTCCTTTGAGCCATTTGAAAGTCAAGAGTGTGGCACTTCTTTATGTTGCCCCACAGAAGCAAATGGCAGCTTCAGGATTTATTGTATGAACTGTTGTTTGTCTGCCTGTATGCTGTACTGCTTTCTACCTGTCTATGATTTTATATACCTTATATTCTAGTAACCCTTCAAGGTCTCTAGTATGGTCAAGCTCCTCACTGTTTTCAGTGTTTACTTATAATAGTTGAATATACTAATGTTTCGGAGCTACTTTTGAAAGAAGTGTTATTAAACTTGTGATTTTGAACCAGGCTCTCCCGTAGGTGTGATACTCGGAAGAGAGGTGTGTATTTCTACATATAGCCTCTTTAAGGCAATCTAAGCTTTTCTGTTGTAAGTATCTGCTAGAGCACCACCCCACTTCATGTGCCAGGATCTACAAGAATTTCCTAGGACCACCATAAGGAGCTGATATATACTTGGTGGCTTCACAGAAAGCTAACTTTTCCAGAACATCAGAAGTAAAAAGTATGGTCTGTATGTCAGCAGGGCCATATTCATTCCAGATATTTAAGAAATGACTCTGCCTTTCTGGCTTCTGCTGGCTCTTGATATTCTTGGTTGTGAAACCATAGCTCCAGTCCCTGCCACCAGTTATATAACGTCTTCTACTCATGGCTCTGTGTATTGTTCTCTGTCTTTTATTAGGCCATTCATATTAGATTTATTACCTCTCTAATCTAGTATAATCTCATGTTGAGCCTTACCTTAATTACGTTGCAAGTGATGTATAGTCACGTGCTATGATTCTAAGTAGATAGTAATTTGGGAAGTAAGACATTACTCAATTCTCTCAAGTCTCTTCTGGTAATAGTCATTTATATGCAAACTTTTGTGAAATGTATTTACAACAATTAAGAGCTGATGCATAATTAGTTGATAAAATTATTTCATGAATTGATGAGATGGCTCATGGATTGATGAGATTTCTTGATGCTTAAAAGTGTTTGCCACCAAGCGTTCCCCCTCTAGGACCACATGGTAGAAGGAGAGAACCAATTCAAACAAGCTGTCCTCTGACCTCTCTCTCCATGGATGCTATGGCAGGCCTGCACTTCCCTCCCAATAAACGTATTTCTTAACATGCTAATACTCTTTGTGTTAATATCAGTACTTGAGGGTGCTGGAGAAATCACTTTCTTTCAGCCTTTAAACTAGAAGTTGTTAAGGATATTGTATATATGTATACACATTAATAACACTAAAGTTCTGTTGATGTAAAGAAATTTGTTGCTCAGTATGCATTGTTATAACAAGATCTTAAACCACCTCTTTATTAAAATCATGGTGGTCTTTAACTGATTGGAACAAAGGTGAAGTTTGGCTATTTTGATGTTGACTCTAAAATATTTAGGAAGGATTCAAATGCTTACATAACTAAGAAAATAGTTATATGAGTAGTATAAATAATAAAAGTGTTTGAGACTTGCAATACAATGAGATTAAGGTTAGATATAATCCCTATAAATAAATGAATAAATATATTTAAGCAGACTTTTACACAAAAATCCCAAATTATATGTACTTGAAGATTGATAATCATTTTTTGAAAGCAGAAATTGGTTTTTTGGTGTGGCCACTGAAAAGCCTTATATAAACACATGCAATGCAAACTTCGGCATTTCAAGTAGAAGCAGAGACAATTATTTGTGTCTGTAAGTCATAAAAGCTGATGCTGAGTTATGATAGCTAATTATATCATAGGTTTTTCACATTAAAAATATTTTGCCCTTCAATTGACTGAGGTTTTCTATAGTATCATTATCATGTGCAGTCATCATATTCATTAAATGATTAATCAGTTTTTACAACAGCATTATAAACTAATTTCTACTATGTTTACACTTTTAAAATTAGCCGAACATGGTGGCGTTTGGTCTTTAATCCCAGCACTCTGCGGGCGGGAAAATCTCTGAGTTGAAGCAATATGGTCTACAAAGCAAGTTCCAGGACAACCAAGACTACATAGAAAATCCCTGTCCACAAAGAAAAGATGACATTAGATATGCATGCTGATCTGTAAAAGTCTGCATGGCTCTCTCATCAACTCCTTGACTGCAGTGCTCAGCTTTTTATCGAACCTGCTATCCTGTTTTGTCTTTTCACTTCTTCTTAAATCCTCATTTAGATAAAAGACTTTAATATTATCATTTGATAAAAGTCCAATGCTATTGAATATCTATTGTGAAGACTCCTGCTGCCTCACTTAAAGAAAGATACAATTCCCTGAGAAATATCTACTCGCACCATACATTAATGTAGCCCAGCTTGGTCCCAGATGACCTAACAGCTTTCTTTGATTTACTGCTTTAGGAATCTGCAACCATGGATGACTCACATGTGCCTGGAGACCTGCTTTAGATTTGGGTTTTCCTCTAATCCTTGCAACAACGCTAACGTTGAATGACTTGTAGAACAGACCTATGGTAAGTGGACTTTAAAAAAAAAAAAAAGACAGAAGAAAAAAAAGCATTTATTTTTGTGGGTTTCATGTTCAAGTTAAGTCCTTTGGCTGTTGTAAGACTGCTCCCTGCTGGACAAAATGTGGCTTTCTAAGGTTGGCACTAAGTAGGTGAGCAAAGAACTGCTTGACTGCTCTCCCTCCCCACACCAGGGGTCCTTGCTACATTCACAAAAGCGATCCTCAAAGTAGCACTATACTGTTGCCACGGTGTTGGCAATCTAGTATAGTGCAATGAGAAGGCTGATCCTCTCATGTTTGTTGGTTGCTTTCTGTTTAGTGGCATTTAAAGGTCCGCAAACATATATTCAGGGATGCCTGTCAATGTGGGCCTTAAATAACTTCTTTAATTGTGTGTGTGTTGATTTGTAGTGTAGGTCAGGTATACTATTATAATAATGATACTGTTATAACAATTGTGTTCCCATATGCCATTGTAGAAACAAAATTATTTCCGTCTATGCAAACTAGATCGTATTAGATCTATTTAAATGAACAACCTATGCTTTATGTTTCATAGATGTTTTAAAATATTATATACCTTGTTCTTTACCCGATTCCAGGTGCTATGTTTGGTAGCATGTAGAGAGTATACTTCACAGAGTGACAGTGGGTCTGACATCAAATATTGTATCTGCAGCTAACCCATCATAGACCTTATCATACATATACAAAAGTCCTTCTAAAATTGATTTAAAGCATATGAGAGAAGAATGAATCTATATTTCTCCTATTTTCAAGCTAAATATTCTTAGTTTTTTGTCAGTGCAACTTGCACAAAATTATCTGGTTGTAATTTGGAATTTTTAGAGTAAGTATGCATTTTTTAGTTTGAAAAGAAGAAAAAGTGGCAGAAATAGCATTAAGTCCATAAGTGAAAGTTAAACAGAACAACTGGTTTTACATTATTTACAAGCCTCCCTTTTTTTTTTCTTTTCTTTTTTTTTTTTTTTTTTTTTTTTTTTTTTTTTTTTTGTTTTTCGAGACAGGGTTTCTCTGTGGCTTTGGAGCCTGTCCTGGAACTAGCTCGGCAGACCAGGCTGGTCTCGAACTCACAGAAATCCGCCTGCCTCTGCCTCCCGAGTGCTGGGATTAAAGGTAGCCTCCCATATTTTTATAGCTATTGCAAGCATGTGAAAGTCATACTTAATTGGAATTATCAAGAAGTAGGCATAGTAATGGTTCTTTGTTGTTACAATATTGCAGCAAAAATTGTAAAAGTGGATCAAAAATGTAAATTGTTTTTAATAAGAGAAAGAACCTTTTCTTTCTCAGCCAAAAAAATTGCAAGAATACATGATAAGAATACATTATCACAGATAATACATAACTTAAAACTACATTACATAATGTAAGGTTATGAAGAAACATAGGCAAATATGTGGACTAATTGTGAATACCTGTATAACAAACCCAAATCCCCATACGCCTGGAGCATCACTAGCACTCTGCAATCTGATGCAGTTCTCTCCCTTCCCTCACTCCCCCTCTCCCTAGTGAGCAGAGGAGTCTGACTATTGATGGTTTCCCATTCCTGTCCTCAAGCATCCTGAGACTCTTGACTCTATTTTACCACGTCTAGCTTAGTCTCTCATTTCTTTAGAGGTAACAAATAGTCTACCTTTTGCTGTATTTATATTAATTATATATAATTTTTAGTTTTCATGTATGTTCCTAAGCAATATGTTTATATTTTGACTCTTTTTCTTAATTTTTTTTTTGCATGTGTGTTTTTTATGTGGGTGCTTTTTTGCGTGTGTGTTTATATGGGTGCTTTTTTTTTTGCTTGTACATATTTCTATGTACCACTTTTTTTTAAAAAAAAAAGTTTATTATGTATACAGTGTTCTGTCTGGAAGAGGGCACCAGATCTCATTATAGATGGTTGTGAACCACCATATGGCTGTTGGGAATTAAACTCAGTACCTCTGAAAGAGCAGTCAGGGCTCTTAACCTCTGAGCCATCTCTCCAGCCCCATAGAATTTCTGATTGTTTGTTTGTTTTTGTTTTTCAAGATGGGGTTTCTCTGTGTGGTCTTGTTTGTCCTAGAACTCGCTTTGTAGACCAGGCTGGCCTTAACTCACAGAGATCTACCCACCTCTGCTTCCTGAGTGCTGGGATTAAAAGCTACCGCCACCTGCCTCTTTTTCTTTATAAAATAGTATCTATTCTGTTACTTCACTCAACATTTTGTTTTAAAGTATCATCTGCGTTACGTTCATCTTTATTCTTTTATATTAACCCTTCGCTGTGAATACCAATTCAAACTTTCTGCATTTAGCTACTATTTGGTGTATTTATTCTTAGGCAATTTTAAAAGCCATTACAATGAACATTTGTCAAAAGTCCTGGTTACTGTCACCTTTTACAAAATATTTCAGATGGGCTAGAATGGTGGCCAAGTAGTTCAGAGCACTTACTCCAGAGGACCTGATTTAGAATACCAGCAACCACATGGCAGTGAACTACCACCCATAACTCTAGTGCTAGGATATCTAGTACTCTCTCCTGGCTTCTGTAGCCACTGTGTACATGTGGTGCACATACATAGGCTCGGGTACACTCTCATACACAAAAAATAAGAGCTATAGTTAGCAAAATCATCTGTCTGGGATGGGTGTGGTAGTGCATGCCAGTAATCCCAGCATTTGGGAGCCATCTCAGCAAGATCACTGAGTTCAAGACCAGTGCTCATCTACATAGCAGTTCTAGGCCAACAGGGACGACATAGTGAGATCCTGTCTCAAAAATCAAACAAATAAAAATAAAATTTATTACTGATAAATGATATGTTCATCTGGAATATAGTTATCATTGCAAAATAATTACAGTGATACTTTAAAGGAATATGAGAAATTGGATCCATCTTGACAAAAACAGTTATGGAGTGATGGAAGGGAATGATATAAGTTTAGTTTGTTTTATTAAAGACCTAAATGTATGCTAAGATGACCTATTGTTAGAGATTATTTAATATTGAATATATAGATAGATACAGAAATATTAATTGTATAAGTTTAGGTATGTTATTTGCTAAGTTTTCTAAGCATATCTTTATTTTGTCCTTTAGGCTTAACCATTCTAGACTGTATTTTCTTGTGTGGCAATTTTGCTCCATTTTTTGGACTTAAGACTATATCTGGAGAGAGGGCCATGGGAAATGGACTTAAGTGACGAAGGGTCATTTTTTGCAAAATAACTCCTTAAGAGAATAGGACTGTTTATCCACATTTGTTGATTGTGCTTCTTTTGTTGCTACTTTGTTTTGTTACTTGTCTTTAAGGAGAATCTACTGTGTTATCAGAAAGAAATTTTTGGAGTAGAAAACCAAATGTACAGCTTTCCATGTTAGTGACACTTATATCCATAAATGTCTATTTATGAATATATAATTTCATGAAGCATTTCTAGATAATCCTAGTAACCTAAATTAGGTATAATTCCCTCTATTAAAGATTAGCATATTAAATATCCATTTTTAATGGAAAGAAAAATTAGATTTTAGTTCTTGTCACCAAGGCAATGTATTAATGCTGGCAGCTCCAGTTAAAAATTTTAAGTGTCTTTTAAATTATTTTAAGTAGGACCGTATGATTATCATTTGTGGTTAAGTTTTAAACATTTATGAGACTTCAGTTATATTTTTTTCAAAATGTCACTATATGTTCTAATGTGTGCTATTTACATTATGGAATTATGTTTTTGAATACCCTAATTATTTTGCTTTTATCTTGTCAGTAATGTATATTAGTAAGTTAATTATTACTGTGTTACTTTTATATTTCATAATGAGAATAATTTTCCATTTTAAGACATATTTTAAAGTACACTCTCATCACAATGCAGAAGTTAAAGAAAGGTGGGTGATTAGATTAGATCTGACTTCTCACTAAGCTTGGTTTTCACTTGTCAATTGCATTTTTTAGTTTAAAGTATCAAATTAACTATTATTTTATTCTGTCTTTTATTTTAATTCATGCATTTAAAAGCTGATATTCAGATAAAAGATAATTTCAAAATAAAATCAATATATTACTTATGAGTGGAGCAACACATTAGCATTGGGTTCACAATAGATCATATCGCTTTTATTCCATCGTACAAGCTTAGCAGCACAAACAGAATAATCAACATATTATTTGGCTGTCATGTGCTGAACAGAAACCAGAGATCACAAGGAGGTTTTCCCTAGCTGTGGTGATGGCCTTTTTGTTCCAAGCCCCCATCTGGGAGGGCCATGGTGTGTTATCATATGGAACGCGGGCTTTTCTGTAATCTGCTTAGCTGCACTGCCGTTTGAATCTTCATTCCATGTTTGTGTAATTTATAATTTTAATGAGACCATGGCTCTTGTGGGCTTTGAAATATATTAAAAGCTCTTTTGTGCATATGCTTTTGTTCTTGCTTAATAGGCTCAGTGTATTTAAAACTGATGAATTTTTATTCATGAATTTGGATGTCTGGAGATTAACTTAGAATGAATATCATTGCACTCATCTATTGATGGTTAGAAAGGGGTTTTGTTACTGTTATTTCATTTGCTTGTGTGTGTGTGTGTGTGCACCTATATGATACTTGTAACTGGAAAATGCTAAACTTAAATAATTTTAAGAGGCTAGAGAAAAATAGCATAATTAAATCCTAAAGAATAGATTAAGTTTTAACCATCTTATTTCATCAGTAGTGTTATATGTTAAATAAATATTGTAATGGAATAACTATTAAAAACAACTTTTAAGCAAGCTACTAGTACCTTAAATAGTTTAATTTGCGTCATATAGTTAAAATCAAACTTGAATACTTGGTGGAGATAGACTTTATATTTTAATCATATTATGGTTTGTCTGTAGTTGTTGTAAATGAGTCATTCTCTTTTTTAGTTGTTAGGCATATGTTGCATATTTTCACTGTTTTTATGTATTGTTTTTATTGAACCATTTTTAAGTGAAAGCTTAAAAACATTAATGGATATGATGAAAAGACATGGAAAAGCAGTTTACTAATAGTTTATAAAATTAATCTCTGATTTCTCTAACATTCTGAAATATACTAAATGCTTTATTCTCTTCTACTTAAATATGTTGAAAAGTTTTGAGTATAAACAATTTTATATTTATATAGAAAAAAATTGTCGTCCTTTATAAACCCAGACACGTTTTTAAGCTGCTCTCTATTGCATTCCTGTGTAACATACAGAAGTAGCTCAGGAGAGATATATTTATTTTTAAATTTGCATTTGTATTGCAATTCTATTTGAGAGGATGAAAAACTTCTGAAAAAAAAATATTGTCAAATGCTTGTAATTCCAGTAATTCTGTGGCTGAGTCAGGAGAATCACCATGAGTTTGAAGCCTGCTGATACCACATACTGAGATCCTGTCTCATTAATAAATAAACAGCCCAAACCAAACCTAGATTTACTATATTGAAGCATTTGTTTTCAACTTGACACATCATGATTCCTTTTATGTTTACAATGACCAGCAGTTAGGGAAATCTCATCTTCTACCATTTCCTTTAAGATAGAAACATATATAGAGATTTGTATGACAAGTTTCTATACTGTCTTCTCTAAGATTATCTGTCAGTTTTGACACTGTTTTCCCTCAGTAACTCTCTGCTCTAATGCTACCTTGTACAATTTCATTTCACTTAGGAACTGTCCTTATTTGTTTTCGATTGCTCTGAGAAATGCAGTGACCCAAAGCAGTTTGGGGAGGAAATGGTATTTCTAGCATTCTCATCCCCATCATAGTCCATCGTTGACTATGGTAGGAACTTGGGCACAAGCACGAACATTGGAAAATACTTACTTTCATGCTCGGGAAACATGGGTTGGTCAGTCTCTTTTCTTACATCTCCCATGACCACCTACCACTTCTCACAAGGGGATGAGCCCTTCCACATCAATCATTAATTTAAAAAAAATGCCCCCAAAGTTGTTCACAGGCCAATTTGATGGAAGCAGTTCCTCAATTGGGGTTCTCTCTTCCTAGGTAACTCTAGTTGTGTCAAGTTGCCAAGAGCTAACCAACACAGGAACAAGCTGTGAAAATGTGTGACTACCAACACAGTATTGTCCAGTGACAACTCAATGTGAACCGTGTAATGTTTTTCTTAATCAGCTATAACCAATAATTGCCTAACTATTCAATGTGTGTCAATAGAAAAATTTTAATTATTGTAGTTTTCCCACTATTTTTTTCTGTCTTCAGAATTCATTGTGTTGTATAGTATATGTCAGTTTAAGCTGATCACATTTAAAGTACTCAACAGCCTCATGGGGGCCAGTGACCACTTTATTGAGTAGTGTAAAAATAAAAATCAACATACATAATCTTTGCATTCCTTGTTATTTTTCTAATGATATACTCAAGATATCTAAAGAATATTCACATGCTATAAAATTGAATTATGTTTGTTTACAGTTCTGCCAATAATACCACTTAACATAAAAATATCAGAATTTTCTCACCTGACTCCTGAGTACTGACTAGGTAGCATGTAGGTAGGCTTAAATATACTATGATAATGCAGTAATGGCCAGTGTAATGAATGAGGAACATTCTTCAGAAAGTAAGGGTAATTGAAATTTAGCAAATAAGCCACTTTTCAAGTATCCTTGAGTCAAGTTCTACAAGAATCACACAAGGAGCCTTAACACTTTTTAAAATAAATATAACTCTTCCCTTTTATGCCCTTAGATTTTTCCAGATTGCCGCTTGTGCCAGTTGGCATGAAGCTTTCTTTTCTTACATTTACTTGGAGCCATACCTGTGGCCTCCTAGGAGAGGAAAGGTGACTTATGAAATAGTGTTTTCTAAATATCTCTAGAATTCTTTACATTGAAATGCTGTCTATGGTACTATGAAGAGATATTATTTCAGTGGGACGTATTTTAAATATGTAATTATGAATTATAAAACCCTGAATTACAATTAATATGAGGTGATTTAGCTATTTTACAGTGTGGCTATACAATGATTAGGGTTTTTTGCTTTAAAAAACCCCAGTGTAAAGAAAGCTGAGTGGTGGTGGTAGCTCATGCCTTTAATCCCAGCACTCAGGAGGCAGAGACAGGTGGATGGATCTCTTGAGTTTGAGGTCAGCCTGATCTACAGAGCAAGTTCCATGACAGCCAGAACAACCTGATCTCCAAAAACCAAATGAACAGCAACAGAAAACAACATACCCACTTTATAATGAATTGTAGGCTTGAGTTGGAAGAACTTGAGTTGAAGGAGTTACTCAGCACTTACTACCATGAAATGCTCTTGGCATAAGACCCAAATTTGATTCTCAGCTCTCATGTCAGATGGTTCACAACCACCTGTAACTCGCGACTTCAGGAGTTCTCATGTTCTCTTTTGACTTCAATGTTCACTTGCACTCATACCTATACAGTCCTACATACACATAAATTAAAAATAATAAAAATAAATCTTAAAAATGTAGACATTAGCATAAATAATTGACTAGAATATAGCTTTGAGATTATCATATATTCATGAGATCCCTAAATTTTTTCCACTTTCTGAACTATGAATAATATGACTTAATCTTCACACAGTTTAACTTTTATGTAGGTGTTAGCCAGTGCCTGTTGTACTCTTTGACACATTGAAATTTTATTGACTAGTCTCTGTGACTTTTGCATTTAAAGTGCTGACACAAAATGTTAAACCACTCTATAAACAATACCTCTAGTTTCTTGGAGATGATAAATCCATCCATTGATTTCTTAATTTTATTATGTACACAGTCGATTGTAATCCAAGATTACAGCAAACAAGACGTTAATTTTAAGACGTAATCTATGTACATTTCAATTACTGAGCATGATGTTACAGGAGCACAGAAGAAAAAAGGAGTAACATTTGTGCTATCCTCACAGGAGCTGTCAATAAAAGATGTAATAGGGGATTTAGGACTCTGGAAATGGCCAACTAATTTATGTGAATCTATTTTATTTCAGCTAGAAAGACCCAGCTCTTTCACTGCGGTGCATATTGTGTAGCACAGGCTGTCTATACAGAACCAGGCGGCTGCATATGGACAGTCCCTTGATATCATTCACTTGCTGTGTAATCTTATTATGCAAAGTTCTAATCTTCACCTAGAATGAATGCCTCTGGGTCAGAATATAGTCATATCAGGGTTTCTGAGGTCATGTTTTGTGATCCTTAGCTTATTCTTCTAAGTAGGACGGGGATTTAAAGGGTATTCCCCAGACACTAGCAGAGATAGACAGCAGACCCTGCTGCCTTTTTGGAAGACGAGACCAACATGAGGTCCCTGGTAGGATTAAAGTTGATTTGTAGCTGTAGGATTTTTTAACAGATGTATTATTGGACAGGGAATAGGGGGCCACCAGCACAGCAAAATTGAATCATGACTGGCATTCTCAGGGAGTTTGCTGCCTGCTAAAACAGCAGCTGCATGTGGATTTGACTTCTTTCAGGTGAAGCGACTTCCAGTCATTTGGAAAGGATGGGATGAAAAGGAACCTGGGTGATAATTTTGATGTCTGCAAGATTTAGTACCAGTGTAATGGGATTATCGGTAACACCTTCACTGCAGAAAAAGCCACCTGGCGTTATAACTGGCAGCAGCCGAGAACTAATCCTTTCCCATCTCTTGGATGTCATTCATGAAGCTCAAAGCGATTTCTGCCCTGCTAACTGTGATTAATTTTATAAACAACAACAAAAAACCAGGTGATCAAGGCAAAGAATATATCTTTTATTGTAATATGTATAAGTAATGTGATTCATAAATTTTGTGACATACATAAACTGAGTATCATGGTTCAAATTTTATTAAACTGTTCAAACATAAAACTTGTTTGGTATGTCTTATACTTTTTCCTAGTTGAGTGACCAAGTAGTTGATGTTAGTAAAGATTTGCACATGAGATTAAATATTATCATATTCTTTTGTATATAAGACCATTATTGATAAAATAAAAATATTTATAGATAAAGGAAATTGAAAATAATTTGTCTTGGCATATATTTTACCTGTTTTTGATTGTTTGAATTGCTGATGACGGTTTTTGGTGAATATTACATTTAGTAATTTAAAATATGTAACACATATTTTTGATATTTAAACCCCATTCACTCAGACTGCTCAGATCAGAGGCATGGTGTCAGCATGGCCAGGGCTGAGGATAGTCAGTGCACTGCTGGAGATGAGCGGTGCCCAGCCAGCTCTCACTTGCAGTTATTTGCTCTGGAATCAGTTCAGTGGTTAATTTTTTTAAACATTTTATTTCTGTCCAAAACCTTATCAAATACTTTGTTTAGAGGTGTTAATTGTTTTAATATTCTTCTTTTATACTATTCAGAATAAACTGAGAGAAAATGAAGCGAAATTATCCCGTCAGTCACCCAAACAGTATGCACCATAACTGCCGAGACAAGAAAAGATAATTAGTGTTGTCAGTGTTATGATCTCAGAGTAGTTAATTTAAAAATATTTATTCAGAGGACTTGACTTGTATCTTACTGTGCTTCTTGATCTAGTAGCTTTACATTTCAAAAATACATTATAAAAATGGTGGTCTAAATGTTTTTCAACTTTAAATTTTTAACTGAATATAGGTGATTAAAGTATGTTTGTGATAGTATAAGAATAAAGCACAGTCATTTTACAGATGCACCTATAGCATCTGATTGTACGTAGTACCTATATCTTCTATGTAGTCTGTACTGGAGAGCTGGCAAATGGAATGTAGGTATAAATAGTATTCTGCCAGCTCTCCCTGCCAGGCTGTCATCTTAACTGGATTTGGTGGAACCGGTGTCAAACTACTATATTGTAAGTGCTCTTTGTCATTTTACTCTATTTGAAACGAATAGGGGAGAAAGTGTAACAGTGTTTCTCCTGAGCAGTGTATTTACTATTTGAAAAACTATTTACTTAAAGTTTTATTATTAGGAAAAGCTACCCATGAAATACAGGGACCGAAATCTTTCTTTCCTTATCATGATAAGACTTGTATTATTTAGTTAGATAGTTTACCACCTAAGGATAACTCTCTGTGATAGTTAATAATATTGTGTAATTGTTTTTTAAAGTATTATTTTTTTTTTCAAGACAAACTGCCTGAAAGTTTGCTCTTAATCAGCACAGCAGGAATTTATACTTGAAGTTAAGCTATTTACTTAGTGGCTCTTCAGACTTAGTTTCCTAGGTGCCATTCATATTCTATTAGAATATTTTTTTCCCTTAAGGTCCAAAATAAGCACATCGTAATTAAATTCAGCATGAACATGTAAGGTCTTACCAGTGTTGTAAATTTTTCTGTATACATATAGGTCGTTTCAATGTAATTTAGAAATCTTGGTAATTTAGGAATTTGATTCATCTTGGAAAGGTACGTACTAATTTAATTTGCAGCATGGATGATACATAATAATGCCACTAAGAGTTAAGGTATTTGGAAGATAAAATAATGGGATAAAAGATAGGAAAAATGAGAAGTATATTGAAAGGGATGTTAGGTTTAACAAAACAGCAATCTGGGAATGATAGAAATTGCTGATTAAGACACGTCAACTTTCTTTTGGAGGTTTACTGACTCAGAGACTCTGAAGAACCACTCTGTGCTAGGGTGTGGCAGCAGTAACAGCGGACTTGTAGTGCTAAATGTCATATCCTCCATTTCAGTTAGTATCTGTTTGACTTTAGATGTTTGTAAAATAGTATTTTTTAGGGGAATGATTATGTGATTGATGAAAGTGATTGAAATAGTTTGCTATAGATTTTATTATATATTCAAATTGATAAAGAAAATGTATATAATTATCCCAAAGTTCACTGTTTAAAATTCAAATAGTTAAATCTTACTGTATTTCTGAAGATGTTGAGCAGGCTTCTATGGCCTCAAATATCAGTACAAAGACCTTTTCTGGGTTTCCTTCCTAGGACTTCTTCAAACTTAAAATTCTGTCTCTTTCCTCCCAAGGATTCATTATTGGTACTATGACAAGAGCACGAGAATCTGAATTAGGTATTTTTGATTTTGTTTATATTCAGTTATGTGGATTTTTTTTCCATTTTATTTTTTTATTAATTTATTTATTTATTAAAGATTTCTGTCTCTTCCCC